GATGGATGAGAGCGATGAGGATATGGATGACTTGGAGGGTGAGGTTCACCCGAAGCATGCAGAAGAAGAAGAAGAAGAAGAAGAAGAAGTAGAGCCTGAGATAATTGAGTCTGACATTGAACTAGATGAGGCTGATGTTGTAGAGCCTGATAATGAACCTCCACAGAAGGTCTGAACAAGCTATATTTTCTGTTTTGTTTTTAATTTGACTACGGGTGCGATGTTTCTGGTAGTAAATAAGTTTGAACATTGGAACTTATAGATGGGAGACCCCAGCATTGAAGTCACTGAAGAAAACCGTGATGCTTCGCAAGAGGCTAAATTTCAGGCGATGGAAGCAATTTCTGAAGGTAACGTGCATACTAGTTAATATACACGTTCACAAAAGAAATTGTTAGCTAAGCATGTATTTTGTTTTGATGTGTGTTATAAGGGTTTTCATTGATCAGGTAAGTTTGATGAAGCAATCGAGCATCTTACCAAAGCAATTCTGCTTAACCCCACCTCAGCTATTATGTATGCAACCCGAGGTAAATTTTGTTTGTTTGTTTGTTTTTTTTTTTTTTTAAACATTATATAGTTATCAGGTTTTATCATCTTAAATTTTAGGCATTTTTATTTGCTTCTCTAATGTGTTAATATGACGGTTTATGTGCTATAGCTACTGTGTATATCAAAATGAAGAAACCAAATGCTGCTGTTCGAGATGCCAATGCTGCTCTTGAGGTTGTCACTTGTTTCTGAATTTGCTGTCTGATGAATTTAACTGCTGCTTGTCAGCCAATATTAGCATTGATTTTTCGTGATAAAAAAAAAATTGTGCTGTATAAGAAAATTTCCCAGATGCATTTTACCCCGTAAAACTGAGGCCATCATTACTATTTCGATGCATCCTGTTAAATTTTAAAAAAGGAATGTATTATTACGTAGAAGATAAACATTTTTGAGTACAATTCCGGCATGATTTTCTATATTGAGACTCATTTGTCTCATCTAAATATTACTAGTCCAAATATTAAAATAAATTGTAGCTACCAGTTTTTCTTCTGGTTAGATAGTTCATACTTGTACCAAGCAGCATTTCTAGCTATAACTATTGTTGGGCCATTGAAGAGCATTCGCTATGTGTATTATTATCCAGCAGGGTGTTTAACCTCAAAACTCTCGTCATCACTACAAAATTTCTGTAATCTCAAGTTCTTTGGATTTTCTTGGTCTTGGTGTTAAGTAGAATCTTGTGATGCATGATTTTTGCTGACATAGGGGCTCACAGATATAATGGTGTTTTCACAGATCAATCCAGATTCTGCAAAAGGGTACAAATCTCGTGGCATGGGGCGAGCAATGCTTGGCCAGTGGGAAGAGGCTGCTAAGGATCTTCACTTGGCTTCAAAGCTGGACTATGATGAGGAAATTAGTGCTGTACTTAAGAAGGTAGGTCTACATGCATTTGGACCATATTTTCCCTGCACTTTTTACCATGGTTACTGCGTACCAGTGTGACAATAGAAACAGAATGGAGAATTATGGTACTTTAGACTAGGCTACTCTTTGGTCCAGTAGCACTTCCTAAGGAAATCCTACTTTTCGTGGCTAATTGAAGTTAGTTGTTGATGTGATATATTCTTGGCAATAGGTTGAGCCCAATGCACACAGAATTGAGGAACACTGCCGAAAATATGACAGGCTGCGCAAAGAGCGAGAAGACCGTAAGATAGAGCGTCAGCGCCAGCGTCGCCGAGCTGAAGCTCAGGTAAACCTTGTCTGCCCTTGCCTTTGTAAATGTTTTCTGAAAATGGAGCCTGATTTTCTGTTTTGTAATCTGTTATAGGCTGCATATGAAAAGGCGAAGAAACAGGAGCAGTCATCCAGCAGAAGACCTGGAGGTATGCCAGGTGGTTTTCCTGGTGGCATGCCTGGTGGTTTTCCTGGAGGCATGCCTGGGGGTTTTCCTGGAGGTATGCCTGGGAGCACGCCTGGTGATACGCCTGCGAACGTAGATTATAACAAAATACTTAATGTAAGTTTCCTACTCCTTTTGTTAAAATACAGTCTAAAACTTGTCTAATTATGATAATATGATGAAGGTATCTTTTTCCACATAACCAGTGTAAAGCTCATGGCTGTTAACGATTATTTTTCATTTTTATAGTCAAAGTTAACTCTGGGTTTGTTGACTGAGGCAGGATCCTGAATTGATGGCGGCATTCAGTGATCCTGAAGTCATGGCAGCTTTTCAAGATGGTATGTGGATTCTGAATTTTACTGTGTTTCTGCATATGCACTTACTAAAATTTGCAATGTCTTAATACATCTCTTTCTCATTAGCTGTTTAGCCATTTTTTATTGACAAAATTCTAGTTTTCCTTCAAGGACATCGTGAAAGTGACGATAAAATGATTTGGTAATTGCCAACCTTTTTGGAACATGTGAATGGAAAGGGTCCTTTTCTATTGCATAGTGAAGAAGTTCTGTAAACATCTTTTGCTGCCACACACTAGAATTTTTACTTGCAAATATTGTTAGAGAGAAACGAAAATAGGAAATTACAATGTTTGATTTTGAGCATGCATTAGGGTTTTTAGAATGATGATGCGTGAGATTTTTATTTTCATAAGCTGTGAGAGTTTTAGCATCCTGGTTTTATTGTCTTTGGAGAAATCAAGGGTTTGGTCACTCAGTGACTGCCAGAAACGGGTAATTGTTAACGATCCATGTCTTCTAAATTTTGATTACATTGTACGAATTTTTCTCTCTCTTTCAACAACAGTAATAAGAACTCTTGAAAAATTGCATCTCCTCATAACCCAATTTGTTGCCCTGTCAGTGCTTCCTGGCCTGCACGTCTCGAAACTTTAGAAGTTACAGTTGCAGATTAAATTATTGATTGCCCTGTAGAAAGTTCTTTTTCTGGTTGTACATCTAGATAGTATGCTCACTGAGGTTGAAGGTTTAGTTGTGGGATAATAGTTTTGCAAAAAGTGCTGCATGTTCCACAATTATCTGTTGGGAAGAGGGGTGGCTAAAGAAGAAGAGTAGACACACCGACAAAAGAGTAAAGAAATGGACAGTTTTTTTTTTTTTTTTTATTTTTGCCCTAAAATTTATATTGTTACCCTAAAAGACTTGATTTGTCTGCCTATTTATCTTAATGTCCGTTGAAACTTGAAAGGGAGCAAATCATCAAGTGGCAGCATTTTGTATATCACAAAATACAATATTCTGCAGTTTTATTTGGCACCTGTTTGGGCTCCAATAAGATGAGATTTTGGGGGAAAATGTGTGGTAAAAAAATAAGGAAAAATTTTGGGTTCACAATTAACATTATTATATGTGAGAATGTGTGGTTGAAAATGAATTTTGGAAAAACGGGGTACAGACGGGGGCTTAATTCCTTTTTCAACTATTTTAGCTGCAGGATGCAGTGTACGTCTTCAACACTGCTCTTGTACCTACTTCCCCTGCTTAGGAGACCATGTTTTTTGAAGAGGGGGAAGGGAGGAGGTGAGGTACTAGTGCTGCGGGAAGTTCTTCTACCAGTAAAAGCTTTAATATGCCATTTAATGTCCTCGGCTATCATATCAATCCAGGCCTCAAACTTGAATAGGTTACTAGTGGACAGGTCCACAACTTTGATCTCTCATTTTCTGTCATTAGCAGTCAGTTTTAGCAGAACAGCATAATTTGCACTCTATAAGAATTTGGTGATTAAAGGATCTGGACATTGACATTCGTCTCAGGATGTAACAGTCAAGGATTTACAACCCTAGGCTTAAGCATCATTTAGCACATTGTATCAGTTATAGGTGGGCCCAAAATTGTTGCCAGATCATTGTGGGGTTTAGGGAAGCATCATAAAGAGAGGGGTGCTATGTCATATCTGATTTGTTGATTGGTTAAAGGTTCTATTGATCAAGAATTGCTACTGCCGGGAAAGGGACGGAAAATTCTAATTTCTTATTTTATAATGGAAATAATAATCACTACAGTTTTCCAATCTCTGATCTTGCTAAATTGTTCTGCAGTAATGAAGAATCCTGCCAACCTGGCCAAGCATCAGGCAAATCCCAAGGTGGCTCCTATTATTGCAAAAATGATGAATAAATTTGCTGGACCCCAGTGAGAGCCGAAGCATGATGCCTTCTTGAGTGGAAGAGAGTTTCTATACTTACGAACTATGACTATCTTGACTTCCTTAAAAGATTGTGTTTGTTCCAACTCTGTTATACAGAAGAAGGTGAAGTAAGTTCTGGACTGGAACGTGAATTCAATAGACGACATCTTCGAATTCTCAACTTTATTTGCTCTGCTTATTCAACTGTATTATATCTTTTGTGCAACTCATTTGGTGCTTATGTTACCATTTTTAGTTTTTGGGTCATATTATATGAAGGTGGCCACTGCATGGACGTTTTTGTAGTCTAGGGGTGTAATTATGTATTAGGAGACCCAATCACTTATAAGTTAGTCCATTTGTAGCTCATTTTTCTTAGGGTTGCCTCCAAATCAAAGACACTATCTTTATTATAAATGCTTTTCAACATATACACTTTGAAAACTTATTATAATTCACACAAATATCCGTTTAAACAACTTTACATATGATTGTAATCTCTTCATATCAAGGATTAACTACAGCCTAATTAACACTATTAATTAAATATGTGACCACCTAAAGTCTTTCAAAGTTGACTGATAATGTGCTTTCAAGTCCATTTAATTCGAAGGTAGTTCACCAATTGTCGAATCTGTTTCATTTTTCAACAGTTTGCATCTCGAGATTTTTCAATCCGGCTTAATGGATGTTGTTGTTTTTTATTTTTCCCTAATTTTAACTTACTAATTTTTCTAAAAGTCAAATTCTTGACTTGAACCTTTGAAAGGGATCTTAAAACTCATTTGGTTTCAACAATGTTAAGCGTTGAGGTGTACTTTTTATTTTACTAGCCGATCTTGGAGGAAAAGAAGGCACAAATATTTCAAGTACTCCTGGAATATGGAGAACTCTGTACTTTTTGTTAGTGTTTCATTTGCATATATTAAATAATTGTGATCAAAGCATGAAAAAGTAATGCACATGTCAATTAAGCAGTGATATGGAGTCCTCATTTACACTTCGGAAGTACTAGAAATCCTATTGGCACAAAGAACCCTTTGCCAATGGAGTTGTCAAGTCAGTATCTCAATCTTCTTATTTTTTCTCAAGAAAATATCCATATCTAATGACTTTGAAGTGCAATAGCAATGCTTCCTTCTTAATCACTGCCACCCTAATGGGAAATTTTACACCATTTTATGGAAAAAGTTTCAAGTCCATATTCTTAAATTTCCTCAAGTCTAATTTAGCTATTTAGTCTTGCCTACAAAGTTTAGGTTAATACACATTATTAATAAAGCTTTAAGCTATGATAAACGAGAAAACAATATTTATCTAATACTTGTTCGCCTCAAGTGCCTATTTTATATTTTTTAAAAGTTTAAGACGTAGAATTTTAATGACTAAGCGACTAATTTAACATCGATGGCATTTTTGCCTCATCCATTCCATCAGCCACAAGCAACTCAGTTAGCCATATCTCGATTCTCTTAATGTGTGTAACATAATAGAAATAGTGCATTAAGATAGAAAAAATTAGAATTTAAAAAAAAAAAAAATTCAGTCACCAAAGTAAAACAAAACCATTAGTTCTGTGACTAATAGTTTGTTCACACGTTATTTATTTATATTTATATTTTTACTGTTCTTTCTTTTTGCTCACTGTAGTACACATCACAATGTTGAATTTAGAGGATTAAAAACTAAAAATTTCTGCTCTTTTTCAGAAAGTTAAGGCAAAAGATGACAGTATTTTCCATTAGCTCAACTAATTTCTCTGAAATAATTCAGTAAATACAACGAACATTTGAACAATTGAACTCACTTGTCATTTGCCCCACCAACCTCCCACCTTTTTCGGTCCAGCTTTCAGACAAAAAGGAGAGCAATTTCTGAACTACAATGTTAATTATGATGTTGTCTCGTCATTAATCCATTCATTGCGGAGTTGATTATTATGAAACTTTTGAACCCAAACTCAAGTTTAAAGTCTTTAGTGGGCACATCTACTTATGTGACAAAAGAAGATTACATCATTGAAATTTTGAGGTTTAGTCCTAAGCACGGAGTTTAATGATCTTGACTGTTGCTTGAAAGAATAGATTTATTTGATAGCTAACTTTGACAGTGTAGCGATACATGACGTTTTGACGGTGAAGTTAGTGAAGATTTCATATATGACGTTACTTAATTTAAAATTGTCTCGACGTCTTTTCATCAAGATTGACTCTGATTAGTATAGTCATGGTTAGATGGGATCCTAGTGAGATAATTAAGGACATTTACTAGTCATGTTTCATTTGTGTTGAATCGTCTTTCAAATGGGTGGTCGTTTCGAGACAGCTCGAGCAACTTACACATATAGTTTATGATGGTCAATTATGCTCTTAGTCCTCTACAAGCATATCAACTTACACAATTTGTTTTTGATGGAATGGTCAAACTCTAGAGGATTCACATACATAAGCCACTATATGTGATATATTGTCTCTTATGAGATAAATTTTACATCTATTTTAGATATATTAAATAACTGACAAATAAATAAATTAAACAACTTATGTTACTTTTTATTACTTAACATGCTTTTACAAGATGATAACTTATTTATGAACTTAATTATGAAATTTGATTGCTCGTTTGAGCTTACCATGTTGGATAGTATTTTAAATTATGGAGAAACAACTTGATTGCTGCTAAAACTTCTACATGTTCCTTATTTATTATATCCATTTGGTAGAGACAATATGGGAAGAATACCTTTGAATTTCCATGACCCCAACCCGAAAAAATAGTTATATTTCTTAGCTTAATGACATTGGCATTACGTGCAAACTACATCATTAATTATGATTAGTGTAATTAGTGTCTTTAATAATTTGAGTGCTCTTAATCTTGCTCCATCCATAATATGTGGAGAGTAGTTAATCCAATGCTTATAGATCTGATTTGTTAGCTCACATGTCCCTTTAATTTGTGCTT